GAGTGAATTCTAACGGGAGAGAGAGATCAGCTGCTGCTGACGAGTCGACACGCAGCTCTGCATGATCACATGCAGCGGTGAGCGGACAAAACACACACTTCAGGTTAGAATATCACACGTAGCTATTTTTAATTACCTCTCAAACTACCTAAACTAGTTAAAGATATGTTTAGTTTTACTGTCGGGTCACTCATTACTGGATCCGTGAGCTGCATGATACTGGTATAATAGATTGCCCGATTCGGGCAACCAGCAGGTGAGGCTTCATGGCCCGAGCTAAATACTAGATGGCCCCGGGCCATCGGGCAGTCCTTAATGTCGAGCCCTGAATAATATGTTGACATTGACTCATTAGTTTGAAATCTTTCTTTATTTCTAGAGTGTAACTGTAACGGCCACTCCAGCACGTGCCACTTCGACATGGCGATGTATCAGGCCACAGGAAATGTGAGCGGAGGAGTGTGTGACGACTGTCAGCACAACACCATGGGACGCAACTGTGAGATGTGCAAACCCTTCTACTACCAAGACGCTTTCAAAGATATCAGGGACCCACAAGTCTGTGTTGGTGAGTGTGTGTTTATGCTCTGTTTTTGTATAGTTTAAACAAACAACATTTGGTGGTAATTATTGCTCAGTGCATCCCAAATATATATACTACAGTTAATTCACAGAAGAGGACGGTAACCAATAGTACACTACACATATTGAGTATCTAGCGCATAATATGACATTTTGGGTAAAGCAATACCCTGCAACAGAGAAATGAACTGGGACAAAGTCAGATATCGTGAAACTTTGAAATGTACTACACTGATAGAAGCTTATTGACCCCAACCCACCATGACACAAACCCAGAACATGCATAACTTAGCTTTGTGTCCCACAGCCTGTGACTGCGACCCGGATGGTTCTCAGAATGGAGGGATGTGCGACAGCCACACAGAGCCCTCCCTTGGCATGGTGGGAGGTCAGTGCCGCTGCAAGGCCAATGTGGAGGGGCCGCGCTGCGACAAGTGTAAGACCGGCTACTTCGGCCTGAGCGCTGAAAACCCTCAGGGCTGCCAACGTGAGTACTGACTCTGATAGCACTCACACAAACTGACACTCACACTATCTTCTAGTTTTCTGCATATAGACATGATACTTTATTTGTTGTTATTTAAGTTGTATTACAAATGCAACAAATCTATCAGCCTAATATTTCCACTGTTGTAAACACAAAAAATGGAGACACAAATCTCACTGCATTATCTTTGATTGGAGTTCAATACTTGCTACAATTTGGGAAAATTATCTTAAAAAAAACATATGATTTCTCTTTTTTATTGCACAAGAGGTGGGGGACTTTATTTCTGCATATATCCCTTTCACAAAGAGGATTGGGCAGACTGGATGTGGCCTGACAGGCGAAGATCAGGGCAAGAAAAGTCCATGCCTGTGACTTAACAGTTAGACACTTTTTAGAAAGATTAATTACACAAAACATGTATAATCTGTGTTGGTGTGGGGGTCACATTCTTAGGTGAAATTGCACCCTTGCTTAATCAAATCAAATCAAATCAGGTTTTATTTATATAGCACAGCTTACTAGGCTTACTGGTAATTGATCTGACAATGAGAGTTGAATAGACACATTTAAACTTTAGCTTGACAGTGGTGGCGGTCTGTGTTTGACATTATAACCCAGCTTTCAATATGCTGCACTAACTAATTGAAATTCATCAATCCCCCCCCCACCGCCCTGTGCCCCCAGCTTGCCGCTGTGACCCCCGAGGAACAGTGTCAGGTCGCTCCCAGTGTGACCCCGTCAGTGGAGACTGCTTCTGCAAGCGTCTCGTCACTGGACGCAGCTGTGATCAGTGTTTGGTGAGAAAAGAAACATTGGGTTAATAGGAATATTCTTCAAATATTTACTGTGGGTCATTTTCTCTGTCTCTGTCTTTCTTTCCTTACAACATAAAAAGCCCTGGTTCAATTTGTTTTTTTGCCTGTTTATCTTTGACAAAACAAGTTGCAATCATTTTAAAATAACAATTGACATTTTCTTGAATTCTTGAAATACTTAATCCCTCAAAAATAATAATAAAAACATATGTTCAAGGTCTTGATACAAAAAAAGATTTTTTTAGGGTAAAACAAAGAGAAAAAATAGTTTGAACCATGTCGGTTAAGGATTGCTGTAGCTTAACATGACACAATCAAATTACAATGTAATCTCTTTCCCTTACATTTTACTTCAAGGCCCATATTACCCTAATATTTGTTTTACTATTCAATTATAAAGTAGTGCTACTGGTATTCTTCACTCTTCCTTTCTAAAATGTTCCTCCTACTCTCTCCCCAGAAGCCCTATATGTTAATTGTTGACCAGCTTCCTGTAATAATTCAACCTTGTCCTGAACCTACTCAGCCAGGAATAGTGTAGGCAGGAATGTGAGCTCCTGCCTGGGCCCTGCGTCTAAATTTAGCCCAGGGATCCAAGGCTTGTCCGGTTGGTGTGGGTTACAGCAGGCCTAACATGGTCAGGGTTTGGACATGGTCCTAAAGTGGATCCTGTCTTTTCGTGAGCCCTGTGAAGAAGCCTCATTTTAGGAGCAATAGTGTAAAGTCAAAATTGGACAGAATTTAAAAGAAACATCTTACTGAGACAAATAATATATCAGTATTATTTTCAATTAAGCTTAAAGGTAATTGTAATTCATTTCAGAAAAACTTTTTGTTATATTCCATGGAATGCTCGATTCACATCCCGATAGCAATGAATACATTAAATGCTTTGACAATAAATACATAAAAAATGTCAATCTCTGGAAGCCGTGGCGCTGTAAAAAGCACGACCAATCCTCTGAGCCGGCTCGGCTAAAATAATTGGATGGCCTACCTGCCTGTCAGCCTTCCATCTGTGCACAAACTTATCTCGTGCCCTCATTGGTCATGAGGGCGTTCGTGTGTGTTGGAGGAGGGGCTCTGTAAGGAAGTCTGAAGAAAGGGGCAGATTTCAAAATTTTAGCGCACTCTAGCTGGTTTCTCCATTCTTACCTACCCTACCTTTAATTGTGGAGTTTATGCCATTACTAATTTATCGTGTTCACTCTCCAAACAGCAAAAAAAAAAAACAGGCATAAGTACAAATCCATCAATCAAAACATACTCAAGAAAAATTGTGAAATTGCTACCTTCAAAAACCCAGTCAGTCAACTCCTTTTGAAGAGAATCTCAGAATACCAATGAAAGGAAAGGGGCAGTGGTAGTATGCCCTGAAGCTATGAATGTTGCTTTATGGGATTAGAGAGCTAGATACACTCAAACTGCAGTTCCCCTCTCACTCTGTAATCGCATGGAGAGTGATGCATCAAGCCAACTGTCTGTGTCTCCCTGTGTTGCTGCCTGTCAGTAACTCTGTCTGTGTCCTCCTGTCTGTAGCCTGAACACTGGGCTCTGAGCCACGACCTGAACGGCTGCCGGGGCTGCGAGTGTGACATCGGAGGAGCCCATGACAACCAGTGAGTGACGCTGTAGCTTAAGTCAGAGCTCACACATAACATCCTCAAGTCTAACCTCATTTGAAACACTTGAAACAAAACAGAGACAATATTAAGTTAACAGAATCTCTCGAGTAATCCAAATAATTTTTTTTTTTAAATATAGAATCTTTTTTTTTTTTAAATAGAATATAGTGTTTTTACTTTTTACAAGATCAAACTTCCAGTTTTAACTTGTGTTGTGCCACTGCATCATGGTTCGTAGCAAACAAATATTCAAATGCCTCTTTTCAGAGGTGGGGGACTCGAGTCATATGACTTGACTCGAGTCAGACGTATATTTTTGGACTTGAGACTTGTTTGACTAACATTGATAAAAGACTCGACTTGACTTTGACTTGGTATTCATGACTTGAGACTTGACTTGAGACAAATGACTTGAAAGAACTGTATCTCGTGCACAAGAGAAAGTTACCGCTGCGCCAAGTAGGAAGTGGCGCACACAGGAGACAACCGTTTCATTGCAGACTAACTGTTATGTTTATGTGGGGAAATAGCAGTGCGTACATTATTTGAGATATATTTCGAACTCAGACTTAGTACCGGATCGGCAAAACAGGAGAAGAACAGCCTCTGAGAAGAGCAGCACCAGCGCGCAGTGCCTTTCATGCACCACCTTCACTGTGTTTACCTCCATTGGAACATCTAAAGAGTGACCGCAGGCTGCTACGTTTTAACCACACACTCCTTTACACACACACACACACACACACACACACACACACACACACACACACACACACACACACACACACACACACACACACACACACACACACACACACACACACAATTATCTCATACTGTGTTGTGTTAACTGTATTTATGCCTTCTCTGTATAGCAGGCTTGTCAGGAAATGGTTTACTAAGCAGAAAAAATGCTTTATAAATAAATGTGACTTGACACACACACACACACACACACACACACACACACACACACACACACACACACACACACACACACACACACACACACACACACACACACACACACACACCTCTACACGCATTGAACTGCCCGATTACTCCCCCTATTACTCGTTTTATGAAGGAGATGTCCGGTCACCAAGGTGCATGATTTGTCTGTGCAACCCAGTCTCACTGCATTTCGTGTTAGTCACCAAATGTAATCTATTGATTCGTGTTCACCAACACGATTTCCCCCTTTTTTTCGTGTCACACAGAACAAAAAGCAATGTATTTCTATTGGTAGTCTGTTTCGTGCCTGCACCAAATAATTAACAAATTTAGAAGGAGGAGAAGGCTTAACCTTTTGATGTAAAATTATACGATGGCCTCGTAAGAACTCAGATGCTCAATTCCGTTGCTTGGTAATCTTCTTTATTGTTAAGAAAACCAGAGCTATCAATAATGACTCCTAGGCTCTACTAGGATTCTCCATATAATCACTAGGTTCAACTAGGTAATGTAACATGAATCTCT